TACTACATATAAAAATGTACCATGTGAAGCGTAAAATTTGAGAGTATCCCATAAACTTACCGCACGAAGCATTAGGTTGCTTTAAACTTACAAATAGCGAAATGACACCTTACCATCATTCTTTCCCTCTCTAATCCATTCCTGGGAATTTGACGCAAGTGTGGAACTCCCCACACTCTCCCATGAGGTCAACCTGTTCAGTTGAAATCTTGTTTCGCTCCTGGATCCTTTTCCAGTCGTACACTTGGCCCACTTGCCACTGTGTACCATCATTTTCATCGGAACCAAGCCGCTCCTCGTCGATGTTCGAGAAGAATATTTTGGCACCTGTTTTGACACAAAGTCGTTCGAGTGCTGGTAGCAATTCCGACTCGTAATTCTTCTTCCAGACAGGAAACAGCAGCTTGTAATCCTTCCCGAAGGTTTCCTCGCGCCAGGCACGAATATCTTCCAAGTGGAGATCGCCAAACACCAAGGTGGATACTAAAAGGGCTGTCTCATTCTGCGTGCTTGCCTTCTTGGACTTCTTTGTTCGCTTCATTTGGTTAGGGATATCGTGTAGAGCAGTTCGCAGAGCTGAAGTGTATTCGTCACCAAGCCCCACAGCTACAAGGCACAATGGGAGCTCTAGCGCTTCAGCTTGAGCCGCAACAGTCTGCGATGAGATATTCTGGATAGGTACCACATTCGTCTTCGGGTCGATCGTCGTAAGGAGCACCACACGAGGCATGGGCTTCTGCTCGGCAGGATAAGTCTCATACAACGCACTTAACGCAAGGAACGAGTCCTTTCCTCCGCTCCAGAAAACCACAACGAGCTCACTCGGTCCCTCAGAAACGTTAAAACGCTCCGGCCAGAGCATTTGACCACCGGGTGAATCTTTCGCGAAGCCACGGGAGCGACGACGCGGTTGCAAGTAAACAGTCCCGGTCAGTGTATCAGATCTCAAGCGCGTCGTGATCTTCTCTTGCATGTATGTGAAGCAGTACATTTGCAGGTACGTGAAGATCCCGATCACCACTGCACCAGCGATGTACAGAA